AGCCCAGATCGGTGGAGTGTTGCAGTGATGTTTGTCCTTCTGTAGATTTTTCCCATCTGCATATATGAACTTCTTGTTCACCACTCTAACCAAAGCTCCATCAGTTGCTCAGTTTGGCCAAGAGGCCAGCTCTAGGAAGAGTCCTGGTTGTTTCAAACTTCTTCCATTAAGGATAACAGAGACTACATGCTTCTATGAACCTTCAATGAAGCAGAATTTTTTTTGGAACTCTTCCCCAGATGTGTGGCTTGATGCAAACCTGTCTCTGAGCTCTACAGGCAGTTATTTTGACCTCAGGGCTTGATTTTTGCTCTGATATGCATTATCAGCTGTTAGACCTTTAATTAAGACGTGTGTGCCTTTTCAAATTATACCCATTCAATTGAATTTGCCACAGGTTAATTTCACTTGAAGTGTAGACATCTACAAGCAATACGAATTCTCCTGAGCTAAATTTCAACTGTCCCAGTTAAGGGTATGAGTACTTATGCAATGGAATCATTTAAGTTTTTTCTTTTTAATAAATTTGCTTTAAAGTTTTTTGCTTTACCATTATGGTGTATGGAGTGTAGATTGATATGGGGAAAAAGTAATTTAAAGCAGTTTATCATAAGGCAGCAACATAACAAAATGTGAAAAAAATGAAGGGGTATGAATACTTTTGCAAGGCACTGTATATGTATATATACAAATAAACAAAATAGTCCAATTTGTATGTAGAAGTGTGCTATATACAAACAGAATTAACAGGGAATGGAATAAGAAGTAGGGTATTTTATTGCACAGTGGGGGGAACCTGGGGCATTTAACTGGTCATGAAATTGTTTGGGGGAAGAAACCTTTTATTGTTTCTGGCTGTTCTGGTGGCCAAAGCTCTGTAATACTGACCAGATAGCAAACTTTCAAAGATAATGTGGCTTGGAGGTGGAGGGTAGGAGGGGAGTTTAGGACGATTCAAAGGGCCCTGAGAGAATGTGATTTGAGGGGGCCCAATTCAATATGCTGTTTAAGGGGCTCAGAAACCCTAGCAGTGCTCCTGTGGATGTGAGAGGTTCAGAGTAATTTTCTGAGCCTTTTTTCTCACTCTAGATGTATACAGTTCTTGAAGGGTGGGCAGTGGAGCATCAATAGTCCTCTCAGCAGTCTGAACTGTCCTTTGGAGTCTTCTGATGTCTGATTTGGTAGCTGAGCCAAACCAGACAGTTACTGATGCAGAGTACAGACTGGTAGGTCTTGGTATTATAATTGGTATTTTCCTAATAAAATACATAACTGCATAATGTAATATATTCCAAAATGTAATTGCTGGTGAAATTGAATGGTAACACCTTACAATAAGGATTATTAGTTAACATTGGTTAATTTAATAACTAACATTAAATACCAATGAGAAATACATTTGTTACCATATTTATTAATCTGTACGTTAGTTAGTAAAAATACAACTGTCCATTGGTAGCTCAGTTCCATTAAATAATATTAACTGATACAACTTATTTTTATTTTTAATAATGTATTAGTGAATGTTGAAATGAACATAAACTAAGAACATAAACTTATAAATGCTTTAGAAGTTTTTTTTATTATTATTTTTATTGTGTGTTCATGTTAACTAATGCAGTTAACTAACGTTAACAAACGGAACTGTAAGGTCCACGCACTCGGCCCAAAGAAGGTATTCAGTGGTGGATGAAGGTTTCTTGCGTGTTCGGTCTTTTCAGCGCGCAAAGTTATTTAATTTTAAGTTCAATTCTAATCTGACTCCATTTTATTATCTAATCTGACTCCATTTTAGTATGACCTCGAATTTAGGTTGAAAGGCAAATTGGTTGTTTGTTTGTCTCTAATTATTGCTATTATTCTGACATTTGGTTATTCTAGTTAACTCTTTACTTTATATTTACTCGTTCATTAGGAATCTATGTCGCTCAGGGTGCCTCACCGCGGCCGCTCTAAGTGGGCCCCACGATCACAAACTCGCCAGTCTGATCATTAGCCAGAGGTTATGACTAATACTATTTAATAGGTCGCCCATGCTTACCATTCTTTAAATAGTAGTTCTGTTTAGCTCCCTGCAGTTACCCATGTACAACTTAGTTAAAGCTCAAAACAATAATCAGCGGTTATGCTAGTACTATT